CCTTCCTTTTTTTTTACCAAAAATCGACAACACCAAAATTTCTCGGGAAAACACTTTTTCTTATTAATTTTGGTGCGTAGAATCCAAAACAATTCGTACTTTTTCGATTAGACTTCTCAATCAAAATTAGTATTCAAATACCTTTGATTTGTGTAAAGTATTTACTATTTAGTATTCAAATACTTTTTAAAAGTATTCTGCCCAGCTCTGCAGGAAAGTTTTTAAAGAGGTTTCTTTGGATTCTCTTACCCCAACATTACTAACAGAACAAATCTATTGTTACTTGAATATTTTAGAGTCCAAGATCATTTTTAAGAAGTTTTGCAATAACATTTTGAGAATAGCTTTTCGTTCAAGTTCAAGAAGTAGGTTCCTGTAGGAAGTTGGATAAAAGCTGTAATTTCATAATAAATTGTAGAATGAAGCTCGCATTAGTAGAAATAAATTTTTCCCTTTTTTCCAAATAATGAAGACTTTTAACACTGATGAGGTATTCAAGGTAGAGAACATGATCAAGTTACCAAAGATTTAGTTCATATAAATTTTCACTAATAGAGTGAATTACTAGATTTATTACCAGTAGACAATAATTATTCAATTAATTGCATCTTGTAATGTGGACATGAATGTTCGGTTGTATTGTAAAGTAAGTGATAGTAATCTGCAGCTTATCTTTTTAAGCAAAAAATTGTGTTTATTAGATAACTTAAAAAACATGTGTATCAAATACTTGATTTTTGGTTTCCTTTTACAGTCTCATCAGGTTCTTCCAATGTAGAAACATACTTTGGAAATGACTGATTAATGTCACATCGCTTCAGATAAACTCAGGTTGATATCTGCAAATAAAAAGTGTTGTTAAAACTTAGCCGCCATCGTACGTGGGTGGTAAACGAGACAAAAACAAAGAAGATACTCAGTACAATATTTTTCTTTTGAGAACTACTCCACCCTTAATAGTTACAAAATTAACATGGGCTTCTTTGTATTTGTTTTTAAACAATCAAGACACACACACTCACACATAAAGATGGGACTAAGGGATTTTGCTATGCCTTTTCCAATTTTGAAAAAATATCCAGAATTTGAACATGATACAAGGACGACATCGACATGACATGCAAACAACGAATTCAAACTTGCAGCAATTTACCATATTAAACCGCTTCCATAAAAGTGCCCCCTTCTTGTTTTTAAAACCCACGCAACTGAATGACAAACTAAAAGCAAACGAGTTTGTAAAAGGTAACCCAGGCTCTGCGAAACTCCAGAAACATGGCAGAGAGTCCTGTTGGGGAAAGTCTCGCACTCCCTCTCATATCAACAGAAATGGGATTCTGCCCTACCAGGTATGTTCATTCTGCCCATACATTTATATGAACTGTTCAGACCTTTGTCAAATGATTGCAGTTGTCAACAGCTCCATGGGAGGCAGTAATCACTCACATACCTATTTTGTTATTATCTGCATGCATTCGCAAATGTGTTTCAAGAAAACCTTTGTCACCCATTAGTTGAAAATCATGCACAAGGTGTCGATGATGATGATGTGGACAGCACTGTTGGCAAAGCAAAACAAAATGCAACATACAAGCTACTTTATGGAAAATATTTTATTTAATTTCGTTTGAACACTATTTATACATAAGAAGTTCTAAATGTAATGAAAACAGAAATTTTTAACAGGCCATTAAATATCTATTACTTTTAAATGAACCACGACAAGTATCTTACAAACCTGAGAGAGGCATAATATACAAAGAATCGAGTAGTGTTTTAATTTAGGCACTTTTTAGGTCACTTAAGGATTTCCATTCTAAAGATAAGTTAAGACGAAACACAGACAATCAACACAAGTGTGGTATTTTCTCGTTCAATCACTGGTCTTTCAAACTAAAAAAAAATTCTTAAATTTACACACTTGCGCCTGCATAACGCGCAAGTGAGATATGTTACACTTGTCTCAGCCGTTTCCATCTAAATTTTCCCTAATACCGAAAAAGTAAAACACAGTAGACTTTAACGATCACAATTCACAAAGTCTGCCCCAAAGCTGTTACGAAATGCAACACCAGTTTGTCGTTAGATGCTAGCATAGAATGCCACGATCCACAGTGATAGGCGTTTTTGACACAGGCGCGTGAGGCAAATGTCTGCAGGTCGTCCCGCATTGTGGACACAAACAGTTTGTCGATACATTGTACGTACGGGTCGGCGTCTCTGTGTACGCGCCGTTTAGATTGTCCGTGCTGTAGGTTTTACGCTGCGATTTCGGAGTGTCCGAAGTAACACAGGGAAGCGTTTTACGTTGACTTAAAGGCGTAGATTTCGGCGTTACACTAAGGATTTCGGGTGTCTTTTTGGTGATTTGCGGGAATATAATCGATTTGAAAGAAATCCAGGGATGATCTAGCAATTGTTCTACTGTGGGTCGCTTTCTGAAATGAACCGCCGTGAGTAACTCGAGACTGATTGTCGTGAGACGTACGTACCTGGGGTCTACGACCAAAGCTGTGGTTATAAAGTCAATTGCGGTACTGGAAATGTCTTCAAAAAGGTCCGCATCGAAGGATAAGGCACATTTTGAGATGTTTAGGAAGGTTTGCTGTTTGTCCGAAGCACCAAACGGTGAATATCCGGTAAGTAGAACGTAGGCTAACACTCCTATTGACCATATATCGGTTGCTAATGTGATTGGTTCGTAACTTAATACTTCTGGAGCTACATAATCTGTTGTACCTGTAACAGGGGTGTTAATATGATTCGAACAGCATCTTGGGGTTAGTGTAAAAAAAAAGAAATAGCCACATAAAGACTTTTGGCTGTTATTGGTTACATTAATGCTAACACATCCTATTGGTACATATACAGAGTGTTCCCAAATATGATAGGCTAATTCTTTTGCTTATTTTACGACTAAAAGTTGACACAGGTCCACAAACGCTTTGTTACCTATCTACATTTACAGGATGTTATACTTTAACTGTACATTTGACAATTCAAACCTTTAATTTATAAACAATTTCAAATTCCAACTGTCAAAACTAATAAAAACAAGAGATTAAATAAAGTCAGGGCCTACTGGACCATTTTGAAAATTATACTTTCATTTAGCTAACGACTGAAAATTGATTTTTATTGTTTTATTGATAACCGTAAATCAGAAAATCAAATTCTTATTTTACAATCCACCCCTGGCGCACCAAAAAAAAGTTCAAGGGTAGAGAATTCTCACTACCATTGACATGACTCAGCGTAACTTATATTACAAATTTGAGTAAAATATCTCAACAACTGAAGAAGATAGAAAGAGAAAACTTAAAAAATCTTGACACCCTGTAGATCAGTAATGAAGCGTTTACAGATTTATGTTTATATTAAGTTTTAGTCAGACAAAAGTCAACGAATTAGCTACTTCCGTATTTACATCATATTTACAACACTCTGTATACCAATCACTTGAGTGGGCTACCTTTAATTGCTCTTATATAACTTAAATTTTACTAGTTTAGAACATCCCAGTAGTCCTTGATCGTCATTATTCATTAAATAATTTTTGTTTTTATTGTTGACAGTTGGGACTACCCTGACAAAGCTATTCCACATCTGTGCGGCTTCAGTCCCTAAGTTTATGAAGAATCTCTCCATGTTGCAAATAACTATGGAACTAGCCATCTATTACTATGATACTATTCAAATATGAAACGACTATGGTAGGTACTACAACCATAGTGCTGTATTCAGAAACTACCAAATAAGAACAACTATAGACACTGTAAAAACAGTAGAACTGAGAACTGTAGATAGAGATATTTGTTTATTTATTTTTGCCTTTATTTTTGAGTGGGCGGGGTTTCAGCCAAGGCTGCTCTACCAACCCAACCCACTCTACATTTACAAATATCCATGCCCGAACCTGAATTCGAACCAGGGACCCTTAGCACCACAGTGCAGCTAATATACACTACTATGCTGGTAGGGACTATGGGAACTATAGAGACTATAGAAACTATGGAAGTACAGAAACTGTGAAACAAGGGAAGCTCTAAGACCCATAGAAACTGTGGAAACCATAAAAACTACAAACACAGAAACAGCGGAAACAGTAGAAACTATGACATGCCCTTGGAGAACCCAGAGATAAAGATTGTTGGTTTTATTATGCTGTTACAATGAAAAATATGGTAATTTTCCTCTTTACACTGATCAAGTTTTGACAGTAAGATCCACAATATCAAGAGAAAAGAAGAAGGGTTCTCTGCTCATCCACATACAAGATTCAGTGGAATTATAATAGTAAAGGTATGAAATTATAGATTTTTCAAATAAGTTTGACATTATATTGGATATTCTGAATTCGTGAGCATTCAAGTTAGTTATGTAAGAGCAGGTCCAGGCCATTTGTATTTAGATTGGGTTAATCCTTACTTTTTGGGACCACTTTATATAGCTATTGTTTATTGTTTAACTCTTTTACCTAATATTTCTCTAACTTCAACTCCCTTCTCTAATACCCTGGAAATGCCGAAATCACACAATTTGATATCCTCGCAGCTATTCTCAACGGTTAACAGTAGATTTTGTGGCTTCAGGTCCAGATGTGCAATGTTTCTTTCGTGCAGATACGAGAGGCCTTCGAGTATCTGTCGCATCGCCCTCTTCGCTTCGAGTTCGCCTAGGCATTCGTCGCCCTCCAAAATTCGCTGAAGCTCGCCGCCGGCGGCCAGTTCCAATATTAAAACCATGTCGAAAGTCGTTTCGTATACCTCGTGTAGTCGTACCACTCGTCCGCTCGACTCGCACTGCAAAAGTACGGCAATTTCGTGGTATATCTCCTTAGTTATGTCGGTGGCTCGGCGTCGTTTTTTGATAAATTTCGCCGCGTACGACACGCCCGTCGCCCTGTGATTGGCCCTTCGCACCGCGGCAAATTTACCCCTGAAACAATAAGCACGATTAATTAACAGTATCAAGGTTAAATGACATGATTATTATACAATTCAACGTTCTCTTTGCATAATTCATTACGGAAAAAAGGAGTATAGTCCTAATTAGTTCCAATCTATTGAGTTCAGCTTTGCACAACCAGGAAATAATCGTAACGCGAAACAATAACGAGGATTTAGCGTAAATATGTGAAAATGATCACAGTTACGTGCGGCGATGGGGACATGCAATCGCGTTACATAATTCCTTCGTACGAGATGATCTGTGAAGAAACGGATCGTATGTCAATTAATTGAATTCGTAAGGTAATTTTTATTTAATTTGCACACGTGTTTGAAAGGGGCAGCACTTTACTTTCACTTACATGTCATTGACGAAATTCGTTACGGCAGATCATCGATTTTAATTGGAGTTTATCTTTTGGGTAAGTTTATATGGAGGTAAACTTTGGAAGCTGACTAGTTCAAATTCCGTACCTTGTCGAATTAGACTTGTTGAAGAAGGGTACTCGCAAAGAGAACCATGATAGGCTGGTCAATCTAGGCAGGTTTATACAAGTGAGGTAGAAAAAATTAGTAACAAAGTGATCTCTGCGGAAATGAGTACACAATAGGGTCCTTACTAACCCCTCAAAAATCGCACTTTGTCGCATTGGTGGAACTTGGAAAAAAATGGCCGCCATCTTGACATATATTCTTATATCCAGTGATTCGATGTCAAATAACAGCACAAGGTAGATATACGAGGTCGTTCCAAAAAATGTGCCATCTTGAAACAAGCACAATGCAGCATCTGGTATAAAAATACTACAGCAACGCTCTCATGTGTTCGAGCGAGTAAATTGATGAGCAAAAAAGCGCAAGTGATTCACGTTTTTAGTTTCGAAGTTGAATTTGTAATTTTTCGCGCATCATGACTTTGGTATGCCTCGTACCGGTCTAAGTTCGAATGGATGAGTAAGTAAAATGCATCTGGATGAAAATAAATCAATCGCAACGAGCGGACGGATTTTTGCTCGATCTCTTCGCCATATGGTCGAGGGCATTTTAGAAAAATCCTCTCGTACATCTTCTCACGGACGCGGCGGTAGGTCACTTTAGGGTCATTCGCGTTTCGCCCGCTAAGGATATCCGATTTTCGCAACACCGAAGGACATCTCAATCGTTACAAGCATGCCCGAAGATGGACAACACAATGTAATCTATTTTTAATCGAAGCCTACTAATTACTCTATTCACACCGGGCATCTCTTCAATCTTCATCCGATTGCTTATGATTTACAATGCCATTACGTAACTTTTCCAATCAACGCATTCAATTTCGCGGCCCTCCCCCCAATCGAATTGTGAGGATTGCGTTTTCGGAATCGTCTCGCGCATCAAAGATCGTTAACACTTTAACCGTCGTCGTAAATGACAATTGTTTTCTTTACGGTCAATTAAAAAGCTTTTAATACAACGATTCGTTAAGTGTCATTTATACAAATTGTACACGCTCGTCAATTTTTTACTCTACCGATCGTTTTATTATTATTATTATAGCGACGCGGTATCGTTTGTAACGTATGGGAGACGTTCTTCTATTGTTAAACATGACGTTAGCGCAACAATCGCGATTCGAGAAAAAATCTCGGAGCTATCAAGTGTTTACAGTTACGTTGACATCTTGCCTTAGATCTGAAATGTGTACAAGGAGCGTAATTAAGTCCTTATATGTTCAGCGTGGCTCATGGTTTCTATGAATGAGACCCCCTTTTCGAGGTGTTTCAGTTACGTAAGATCTACACGTGATCAGTAGGAAGAGATATTGTGTCTTTTGCGTGGACTTCATGAGTTCACACAAAAGAATAAGTGAGGTACCAGTACCTCCGTCTGGGCAAAAAGGTCATGGTGTTTTCAGAACACAACGGCCAATAGGGTGTGGTTTGTGGGGTTTTGATCACATCTTCTCTAGAGGGGCCCCCCCCCCCCCCAACATCCACATTATTCATATTTGGTTTTTATTTAAAGAATTTGCTACTGCTTTCAAGTTTCATACTCTATGACGTTCTTCCACCTGCTCTTAACACCTATCTCCTCAAGCATCTTTCACCTTTACTTCATGTCCCCACACTGAAAGAGACATTTCTCGTCCCTCTTCCACACGTTCTTCATTTACGCCTCTTTTCTCCATATATCTTTCACTGTTCCCTTCGAGCCTCCTGGATTTCACAGGGCCTGAACGTGCTGGTTGCGTGTTTTGGATGAAAACAAAGTCAGCAACAAGAGTTCAACGTAAATTTCGTACAGAGTATGAAAAGGAACCTTTCGTTTGAAGTGGTTGTAGGCTTGTAGCATAACTCATAAGAAATCTCCAGATCCAGAAACGACGGCCATTTTGAAATTGTGGGCTTAGTCCAACTCGCGAATAGAAAACAGCGAACAGTCAATTAAAAGTAAAACAAATGTATATACCATATCAAAAAATGCGTACGTTCAAAAAAAAACCTTCACAACATGAGGGTCGCCACCGTATTCTTTTATCACTTGCTTTTTCACCTCCACCAGAAACGTACGCCACTACATTCTCCCTGTTAATACCAACCTAATGGTAATGCATCATTTCCAGCCGAAGGTATAGTCATGCATTCTTTTCCAAATTTTCCAAAGTAAATTTTGATTCCGTGGTTGTTAAGAAAAAATACAAAAAAATGTAAATTTTGAAACTTTTAGAGGCATGCGTTTTAAACGAAATATTTTTTGTTTGAACTTCTTTTACTATCCATTTTTTTGACATTTGACGTTTCGTTTAAAATGCGCCACCCTATACAGGGTCATTCTTGACGAGCGTCAGTTAGAAAGATATGGAAAACCTTTGAAAATGAAAATAAACTGATAAGTTCTTTAAGAGTTTTGGCACATGATGAATTGAACTAATATATTTTCAAAATGGCGTCACTTCCGGAAATACCGGCAGTAGCCATCAACTTTGTTATTTTAAATAGGGACTCTCTATTTTTTCTACATTTTCGGATTCTACGTCGAATTTGGAGTACAGCGATACTCCATAGTTGACCCTTTGCTCCAAGGGCTTCGTCGATATTCAAGTTTTTATGTCAAAAATTGAATTTGCAGGGGTCATTTTAAAAATTTATTATTCGGAAACGATATTGCAACACAGTTTTCACTGATTTATTAAAGAAAGATCGAATTTTCTTATGGTATGCGTAACAGTCTAAAAAAGTGAAACTACGTCACTTTTTTAAAGCTCTCAACTTTTACACTTTTAAATATCCATAACTCCATTTTTTCAAATGGCCCCCCCCCCCCCCATTTTGATTTTCACCCTTGTTTTCCTTTTTCCCAGTCCTTTAATTTGATACAAAATGTCAAAAGCTGCTTCAAACGGTTTCCGAGATATTCCATGTTTTAGTTACTTCTTGTAGCTAATTGATAAAAAAATTAATTCGCTTGATGTTATTCTTTTGTTTTTATTATGATAATGTTTAAACGTCAAATTTGCAGGAATAACGGTATGTTTCAAACAAAAATACAAAAAAGGAAGCCTGTGGTAGACCACCGTATGCATACGGTGGAATCATTGTAAACGATCTTTTAGAGCCCTTTTTTAAGAGAATGTCCACTCTCAAAACACAAACACACAAATTTGGTAAAATGATCTAAAAAGATAAGGTTTAGAAATCCCCGAAAAATGTGTTAGTTTTTGAGATAGTTTGAAAAAATCGGATTTTTCGATTTCACGAACTATTTTTTTCTGGTGTTAATATTTGACTTCGCCAATGACACTCCTCCACAACAACTTTAAAAAAAGCGCAATCGCAATTAAATCATTGAATTCATAATAAAAAGGGGTAGAAGAATCGAATATTAGAGCCGTATTTAAAAAAATTAAGTTGATGATGGTTCCACAATAACGAAACGTCGGATTAAAAAAATTAGCCTTAAAAAGCATTAAAATTTGTTGTGGAGATATGTCATTGGTTTCGCTATAGGTCAAAATATTAACGCTATAGAAAAATAGTCCAAAACCTTTTTCAAAATATTTAAAAACCAAAAAACGCCATCTTCTTAAACCTTTGATTGCTCAACTTTTATCCCACTTAACCAAATTTGTATCTTACTAGAATGCCCATAATATGCCCTATTCTCGCATGCAGTGTATAAGGCTGGCCCCTCCGTTTAAAAAAAACTGAGTATACTTGAAGTTGGCCACATTCCTGAATCTCTGACTAAGGTGTTCAATGATATTGTGAAGAACATTACATTACATACCTCTATTAAAAATAGAAAAAACCCTGATACAGGCTATAAGAGGAAGAGGGAAACATCTTTCGCAGTCAACACAGGAAAAATTGAGATTATTATAAACTGCGCACCGTCGGCCTTCTGTTTATCCCAATTTTTGTCTTTGGAATTTGTTAGTTTATCTTAATGCCTAAAAATATCATTCATAAACAAGCATCTACTGGCAAATTACGTATCAGTCTTGGAAATTTTCTTTGTAGGACCTAATTTTATCTTCGCCCATTTGTCACTAACATCAAGGCCTTCTTTAAAGTTTAAACCAAATATTTACAATTTTCCTGTATGTTTACAATAATTAATTTTGCCACACACGTCGCACGTTGATCTCTCTGCACAAAGAAATCGAGTTTTCTCATTTTCCAACCGAACCATTCAGTGCCCAGATAAAAACGTATAAGTCATAACGAAGACTATTATTTCTATGAAATAGCGATAAACCACTAGGCGAAATCCAGTGAAAGTGTTTAATATTACCCATAAATTTTGGCTGCCATAAACTTGAAACACCCAGGTGACCGTAGAAAGCAAGGCCTAAGATCGAATTTTGAAATCTCCCGAATTGCGTAACGGACGTTTATCGCAATTGACATATGTCCAACTCTCACCACCTCTCGTTATTAGCTTATTTACTCGCGCATGGGTTGGGCTTCATTAATTATTCCATATCTATGAATTTCACACCGTCCG